CGAAGGGTTTGTGCTTCCTGGAAATGAGAAGAAAGTTTGTAAATTAGTTAAGTCCTTGTATGGATTAAAACAAGCTCCAAAACAATGGCATGAAAAATTGATAGTGTTATATTATCAAATGGTTTTAAACATAACGGAGCAGATAAATGCATTTATTCCAAATTCACAAAGGACTATGGAGTGATAGTATGTGTTTATGTTGATGACATGCTAATCATAGGAACTAACATGAAAGGCATAAATGAAACTAAGAAGTATTTAAATTCTCAATTTAAAATGAAAGATTTGGGAGAAATTGATACTATCCTAGGTGTTAAAGTTAAAAGATATAGTGGGGGTTTTGCCTTATGTTAGTCTCACTATATTGACAAGGTTCTTTCCAAATTTAATCATTTGGGTATTAAAGAATTTAATACTCCATTTGATATTTCTAGCAAAGATGGTTGAGAACCCCGGAAGATCTGTTAGTCAATTAGACTATGCTAGTGCAATTGGTAGTTTAACGTATGCTATGCATTGTACTAGGCTAGATATTGCCTTTGCAATTTGTAAATTATCAAGATATACACACAATCCAAGTGGTGATCACTGGAAAGGTATAGTGAGGGTACTTGGTTATCTGAAAAGGACAAAAACTTTTGCCTTGTATTATAACAGATTTCCTTCGAAGTTAGAAGGATATTGTGATGCTAGTTGGATAACTAGTGTTGGTGATAACAAGTCAACGTCTGGGTGGATATTCACTTTAGGTGGAGGAGCAATTTCATGGGCTTCTAAGAAACAGACGTATATTACTCATTCCACAATGAAATCTGAGTTTATTGCTTTAGCAGCTGCAGGAAGAGAGGCAGAATGGCTGAGAAATCTATTGTTAGATATAAAGTTGTGGCCACAACCAATACCAGTTGTTCTCTTGCACTGTGATAGTGAAGCAACTATGTCTAAGGCATTTAGCAAAATATACAATGAAAAATCTAGACATGTTGCTTTAAGACATGAGTACATAAGACAATTAATTTCGAATGGAATTATTACTGTTGTGTACATCAAGTCTAAAGACAACCTTGCTGACCCATTCACTAAAGGACTCGCGAGGGATATGATAATAAGCACAACAAGTGCTATGGGTCTAAGGTAATTTAAATTTGTCACTAGTAACGGGAACCTTACCTTTCTTATTGTTTAACAATATTAAAGGTTTAAAAGGTAATAACAAGTTATAGTTGTGACGGATAGCAGGTACGGGAAATTAGTACCTAGAAAAGGAGGATGAGTATAAAAATACTCTTAATGAAGAAGCAGAGTTTGGTTTAGGAACTAAAGAAGTCCGTGTTAAGGATATGGTTAAATCTTCACCTATGTAAACACAAGAAGTGGTGCCGCTTCAATCAAAGTTTGGAATACAAAACTTGATAAGTGTTTATGAATTCAGGAAGTAGCACAAGGCTATAATTGGGTGCTAAAACTCACGGTGAACAAATTGTGAAGTTGGTACGATTTATGTGTATAAAGATTTTCCGTCTTGTCAAATAGGAATTGTGGTTTAATAGAACTTAATCTAACCATCAATTTCTACAAGGTCTTGAATAGTTTATACAAGTAGTAGGTTTAAATCGAAAGATACCTACTATACGCATGAATCTTATAAATAACATCAATCACTAACTAAGTGGGGGATTATTATATTAGTTAGTGTTTTGATGGGAGTATTTGAGAAGAGGTGCTTTGTCCCTCATTGGAAAAAGAAAGAAAGGAAGAAGTGTTTAAAAGCACATCTTTGTCTTACATGATTTGAATATTTTAAAGATGTTTTGGAGGGAAACTAGAATTTGGCTATATTATTAATAGTCAAGATTGGGCACTTGGGCCAATTAAATAGCCCAAAATTTATTTCTTTTAGTCACCTATTAATTTTGTTAATTAATAAAAAAAAACGTTTTAATTATTAAAACATTTTTAATTTTGAAAAGGTGACTTTTGATTTTTAAAAGGTGCCTATTGGCAAAGGTTGAGTCTGTTAATCCTAACAAACACCTAAAGGGTTTATAAATACCCCTTTCCTCTCCAAAACGAAAATCATCAAAAAAAAACAACAGTTTTTGTCTTCTTCTTTTTCTGCTATCTTCAGTTTCACAAAGTTTGTTCAAGTGGAAATTCGAGTTAATTGTTGGTACTCGAATTTCGGAGACTTTGTAGAATCCTGGAGGAATTCTGTCATAATTCCTGCAGCAACGAAATTGGGAGGCTTAAATTCCTTAAGGACAGTGACTACACTATCAAGGCCTAATTATTTCGTCCCCATATTCTATAATTTTTCTAACAAAATATTATTAATTGTATAATCCATTAATTAGTTATATATAGTAGCTTTACGTACAAGGGAGTTCAGTTGATTGAATAAGAAATCAAGCTCTTTCTTCTTCTCTCTTTCATCTTCGTCTCCTCTCTTTCTCGCTCTAACAGTCTACTTCTTCTTCTTGTTGATCAAGAATTCTTAACTAATAATAATCTTTAATTTAATATCACAAGATTCAAAAACCTTATTCATATATAATGACAAATCAAACTCATATACATTAATTGAAACTGAGGTATATAGTAACCGGCCCTTGTATTTTCAAGTGGAATAACTGAATATGCTTTCTGGATTTAGTGGGAGTTTAATTCTCGTATTTCTATTAATTCCAAAGGAACTCTGCTAGATTTTAAGTTCTGACATATTCTTTCCATTTTAGATGATACAACAAAAACGAATATAGTAATATTACCCTACAAAAACTAATATGAGATCGATGCAAAAGATTTGCTTCTCTATATTTCTACGTGGGTAACGCGGTATCGTTGACCTTCTTTTAATTAGAAAAGTTATATACAGGCACCTTATTTAAGCAAAAAAAAAAAATACTGCTATTATAATTTATTTATATCTTCCTTTTTTTTTTTTGGTTAAAACGCCAGCGTTAAATAAAAGTCAAGGTTTTCTTGTTGAAAGCATATATATATAATATATTGTATCATATACAATTAGTAATTTATTTTCGTTGCAATTTGCATGTGTGTTTCTGTTTTCTTTTTTTGGTCGTTTGGTGCAATTTCAACTACCTATAGTACAAATGCAACAAGGGGCGACCCGACGAGTTTTGTAGCCTAAAGCAAAACTTTACGAGGGGCCTTAATATTTTTTTTTAAAATATTTATTTATTTGAAGTATATTTTTCTAGCATTTCTTAGATACAAAGTTATTAATAATTTTCTTATAATCAATAACTTCTAATAAGTCTTCCTTAATTGACAATAGCTAATCCATTTAACTTTTATTGAGACATTATTGATCTTAGTTGAGATTTTATTAATTTAATTTTTGAATTTTTTTGTTGAAACGACGGAAACAAGAGTTATTAACATTATTCCATAAGTATTATAGGCATTGGAAAAAGAATTAAATTTTTTTATTTGACCGAGTGTATCAATTAAACTGTTATCTTCTAATTGTACTATTTTTTAAAAAATATTTTAATTCTTAAAATAGATCTAAACCATCAATATCAAATTGATTATTATGCTTTAAGGAACATTCAACATTAAAGCAATATATTTTAAAATTTTCATCGTCTAATGATCTTAATTTTTACCGCTAAATAGAAAATCAAAAATATTTTCATATGCTTCGAATTGTTCGGATCTATTTTGAAGTGAAAAAATAGCCTTGTCTACTATGTATAAAGTAATCAACTTCAAAGGGCTCTTCAAAAGATTTTGAAATTTTATTATCAACATTCTCATCAAATTGTTACTTCCTATATATCATACGTTTCTTACGAAATTCGGGTTCAATATTCATTTCAAGTGTAATTTTCTTGGCAAAAATCATAGCAGTTGCAAATCCTTCTTATCTACATTTGTTAAAGAATTAATAAATCAAACTTTTTCACTACACAAAATCTTTTTTTAAGCCTATACAGAACCTATTAGATGTAAAATATGGGGCTCCCAAAAATGTGAGGCCTAAAGCAATTGCTTTTTGCTTTATGGAAAGGCCGCCCCTCAGTGCAACCAAAACATGTTTCTATTTTCTTGATTTCGAAATGTTACATTATCTAGAAAATAGTATTTTCCAAGGTAAAGCTTTTTTATTTTTTTATGTCCATGCAATCTTTTTGAAAAAGTCATACAACATATTATAATACGTTAACATTAAATGCAATATTAGTATTGACGAATTAAAATTTGAAGTATTGACGACACTCATGTCTAATTATCATCTTATCTCCTTAGAGAAAATTGGGCAAGAGACGAGGGGGCGGGTGGAGAGGAGACAATTGAATAACCCCATAAAATAAAAAGTAAAATGGCAGTCCAGTGTAAGAAATATTCCGTGTTTATACAGTATTTTAGAAAAGGCCGCACTTCAAAGAGTGGTATGTAAGCATTTTTTGTTTCTTTTGAAACTCTTCGAAATAATTTTATTTTTCCTTTTAAAATTTTTAGAGTTATAAAATATTTCTTTTTGAATTTTCCAATTTTTTTTTGAATTCCTTAAAAATGGGCTAAAAAAAGGAAGGACGTTTTCGGGGAGAACCAAAGGGAAGTTCAGCTTCCATTTCCCAAACTGTTAAAAAACAAAAATCATCTTTTTGTTTTTTCTTTTTCATTAGCTCTCCACAGGAGGAGTATAGTTTTTATATATGCCAAGGTTTCAGACGAAAAAGAAATAATATTTTGATCTAAATGCCATCTTTCAACCAATTTTTTGAAAATTTGGTTTCTGATAATTGAACACCATTATAAGTACATTTAATATGCATTTCTCTATTCCATGCAAGCATCAGTAGCTAATTTCACGGCTCAAAAACGTGATCTATAGGTCAAACACGAAGATAACTTTACCGTTGTTCCAAGACTCCAAGCAAAAATTATATAAAATAAATTAATACAATAAAGTATCTATAGTCTTTGTTCTTCTGTATGCAGTGTGAATATAAAAGACGTCTTCCAATTTTCATTTTAGACATAACGAGCTTTCCTCTTTCCTTCTTCTCTCTTTCTAAGAAATTAGCCACATCACAACCTCAAGAAAATTACACCAGCTACTATACCATAAAAAATATTTTTATTAATTAGTAGCTGCAGCACAACTTGTTCTTATCAAAATATTAATTAGAGGTAAGAACAAAGAAATTAACCTGAAGAAAAAATGGGAAATTGCTGGCCTAAACCTGTTGATAATCTTCCTAGCTCTAAGAAGTTTTCTAGCCCTCCTCCAGGTATTTACCCTATGGCGTATTCATAATTTAAATTTTATAGATTCAATCTTTAATTTCTTTTGAAATCATCGGTTCAACATTTAATATTAGTTAAAATTTTAGTATGCTACATGCGCCTAGCCACTGCTATATATGTAGCTTTTTTTCTCCTTTGATTATACAAAAAAAATGATAAATTTGTTACTACGACAGTGATCAAGAAACATACGGCTGCTCCGGCAAGTAATACCAAAAGGGCGGTGGTGGCGCAGCCTAGCGGAGATGGCGGAGATCAATCGGAAAAAGAGGAATTAGTACTGCCGGCGAGTGGGAAAATTATTACTCCAAACTTGAAAATGTTTACACTAGCAGAATTGAAGAGTGCAACGAGAAATTTTAGACCAGATACAGTTTTAGGAGAAGGAGGATTTGGTACTGTATTTAAAGGATGGGTTGATAATAAAACATTTGCTCCTTCTAAAGTTGGAGTTGGAATTCCAGTTGCTGTTAAAAAGTCAAATCCTGATAGTGAACAAGGTCTCAAGGAATGGCAGGTTTGTTGTTATTTTCCTTGCTTTAATTTCCAATGTATTTTGGTTATATTCGAAATTTATTGGTCCGACTAATGAGCACAGCTCGTTAAACGGGCTGCATCATGAGATTTCCAACCAAGTATTTGGGTGAAATTTAAAAATAGCCAGTTTTACAAGTGGTCGTTCAAAAATAGTCCAGTTTCAAAAATAATCGAAATTTAGCCAGCATAAGTATACTTGAACTCTAGCATATTATACTGGAGTTCCAGGATAAGTATGCTGGAACTCCAGCATAATATGATGGAGTTCCAGCATAAGTACACTAGAACTCCAGCATAATATACTGGAGTTCCAGCAAGTATACCGGTCCAGTATAATATGTTGGAAGTTCATACATAAGTGCTCGAATCTCCAGTATGTTATGCTGGAACTTTCCGTGTGTTGGAGTTCCAGCATAATATGCTGGAAGTTCATACACAGGTGCACCGAACTCCAGTATATTATGCTGGACCGGTCTCTGTTGCAGCAAAATAGTGGCTATTTTTTATTGACATGGTAAACGCTGGCTATTTTTAAATGACCAGTCCGAAAACTGGCTAGACCGTGCTATTTTTATTTGCACTTTAAATCCTATAAATTTTGCCTTTAAAACTAGTCTGATAAGTTTATGTTATTTAGACAAATTTAAAAAGTGATTAAAAAGAAGGACATTTATGCAAATGCCCTTTATTATTAGGGGCTTAAAATCCAGACTTCTGGTTAAAGTTGGTGATATTTCGACCATGTTATCACACGGTAAAAAATGATTATTTTTATTAAATTAATATATGCATAATATGTGTTTGCAAATAAACTTTTGTAATAAAATAATCAGGATAATATCTCAAACTACTAACACCTTGGTGGTGCGTGGTCCATGTATTTCTTCTTCACCAAGCATCGTAATCACAATAATTCCTTCCACTTTCTCCTATTTTTATCGTTCAAATTAAGGGATAAAATTAAATATTAGTAGTTCCGGACTTGAACTGCGGACTTGTTTCAAATTAATATAATTCGTTTTCCAATTTTGTAACTTAAATCAGGAAATATAATTAAAGACCTATGTGCATAACGTGCAATAAAAATACGAAACAATTAGGGTTTAGTATTTTATTTATGTCTGTGTCTGATACTTGTATACAAGGGACCCGATTTAAAAATAGCAAGTAGTTAATGGAGTAGTTGTTTATGAAATATGAAAGCTAAGAATACGTGGCATATTCGACCAATGGGAATTTAATCGTTGAGTGGAAAGAAGCCAAACACAGAGATAATTAAATTAAAACCAATCAAATAAAGCATTTACAGTCAAATGTGTGCTTTATTTGAAAAATTCAGTTAGTTTTATTAATTATTATTATTATATAATATATTATATGTGCCCTTTGAAATTGATTTTTCTTGACATGATGAACTCGGATAGTCTTGTGTTATACTTTTTAATTTCTTCACAATTTTAAAATGTGGTTTTTTCTTCTCATAGCTAATATTTGACCAGTCCCTTATCTGAGAAAAGTAAAGAAATAAAAGATCAGTCTAAATCTGGCTGACTAAAATGTGAAGATAATATCGTTGACTCTTTCAAAGTATCCACGTGGTTTCCTTACTACTATCAATTAATTTGTGGAAAATATAATAATCAAATTTAAGTAACGAAAAAGAAATGTCACAACTCACATACAAAAATCAAAATTAGGAAATATTAAAATAAAAAACTGCCCCTTTTTTCTTTGTTCTTTGTTTTCTATTCACTACGCAAGCCTTCGTCGATCAACGGTGCAAAAGTTGGAATACTGAATTGGTCCAATAAATTTCAAATCATTGCATCATAATATTGAGTGATTGCTAAACGAGTATAGTCAAATTTTTTTATAACGACCTCGTTTTAAAAAAAAAAATTAACTGCTATAGCAAAATACTGTTATAGATAACATATGTTATACGTAATGGTTCCAAAGAAAATTTGACCGTTATAGTGAACTGTTGTTATAGACAAGTTTGATTGTAGTACATTTTGTCTATTTTAGGTTTGTTGTCTATAGACAATTAATTATTTATTATATGGATTGCAGGCTGAAGTAAAGTTTTTGGGAAAATTTAGTCATCCAAATCTTGTAAAATTAATCGGATATTGCTGGGAAGAAAAAGAGTTTCTGCTTGTATATGAACACATGCAGAAAGGAAGTTTAGAAAGTCATCTTTTCAGAAGTAAGCACCTTCTTATTATTATTATTATTATTATTATTATTATTATTATTATTATTATTCTATTTGTTGAAAAAGAATTATTACAAAATGTAATATAACACTATTTTTTGTATTTATTAGAAGAAGGTGCAGAAGCATTGTCGTGGGATACAAGGCTAAAAATAGCAATAGGAGCAGCTAAAGGTCTTGCTTTTCTACACACAACAGAAAAGCAAGTTATTTACCGTGATTTTAAAGCTTCAAATATTTTACTGGATGCGGTAATTTTCTTTTCTTTTCTTTTTTAGAAAAACTTCTTTAATTAATTACATTTTTTTTAATAATTATTGATAAATATTTGTTTCAAATATTGTTGGGACAGGATTACAACGCTAAGCTTTCTGATTTTGGACTGGCTAAAATGGGTCCAGTAAATGGTGACTCACATGTGACCACTAGAGTCGTTGGCACTTATGGCTATGCTGCCCCCGAGTACATGGCCACAGGTAATTTTTTAATAACTATAGTGTTCGAGTCAGATATTTTATGCACTCGTATTTTTTTCCTCCTAATTCCATTGACACTTAATATATGTAATTTCATAAATTTTAATTAAAGTATACAAATAGTGAACGAATCAACAATTTTTTTTTTGTTGTTGTGAAAATTGACTTATTTAAAGATAAATTGATAAATCATGTCAGCTAACTCTTTTTGGTCCCAATCAAGATGTGACATGAGCTTGCCTAAATTTCGTCCAACACAACAACAAAATAATTAGAAAAGTTTGACATTAACTTATATGCCTTAAGATGAAAAAAATATACAGATATTTATAACGAATAATTATATATCACCGTCAATAAAAGGGTCAGTCGATAGTGAAAGTTTTATTACTTAAAAGAAATTTATTCCTTTGATTTAAATAACAACAAACTATTAGCTTTGACTTCTTAAAACCAAAATTCTTCCCCAAAAATTTTTCTATGTTCCCATTAGAAGTTTGACCTGGCCTTAGTGAAAACGTCAACCTTTACAAAATGTGAACTCCTTAGCGTTCAAATACTAAAATCCAAGAACATATATAACTATATGATTTATTAATATTGACCGGCAAAGTTGGTAAAAATAGCACGATCTAGCCAGTTTTCGGACTGGTCATTCAAAAATAGCCAGCGTTTATCAAAGTCAATGAAAAATAGCCACTATTTTGCTGCAACAGAGACCGGTCCAGCATAATATACTGGAGTTCGGTGCACCTGTGTATGAACTTCCGGCATATTATGCTGGAACTCCAACACACAGAAAGTTCCAGCATAATATACTGGAGATTTGAGCACTTGTGTATGAACTTCCAGCATATTATACTGGACCGGTATACTTTGCTGAAACTCCAGTATATTATGCTGGAGTTCTAGTGTACTTATGCTGGAACTCCATCATATTATGCTGGAGTTCCAACATACTTATCCCGGAACTCTAGTATAATATGCTGGAGTTCAAGTATACTTATGCTGGAACTCCAGCATAATATAATGGCGTATTTTTCGAGTTTTGAACAGTGTTTTTGCTCAGATTTATCTTTACATGAAAAGTGGCTAGATGTCGATTACTTTTGAAACTGGGCTATTTTTGAACGACCACTTGTAAATCTGGCTATTTTTGAATTTATCGGTTTCAACCATTTGTTGGTATTAAATTCCTTATTTTAGTTTTTAAAAAACTTGATTAATATGCTATTTGATTCGAAGAATTAACCTAAATAGGCGCTCACCTAACCACTTAAATTTGAAATAGCTGGTGGAGATATAATATGTGCATAATTTATGTATTAGATATATATAATTATGTATAATCAATATATAATTTATATATATGACTAGAAAAAGTAAATAATTAATATGGCCGGATATGTGTAACGATCCCTTTTTATTATTTATTAAAAAAGTCTTGATTCCTATACCTTATGGAACATTATTTCTTTTTTTTTTTGGGCAGGTCATTTGTACGTGAGGAGTGACGTATATGGGTTTGGAGTTGTGTTGCTAGAAATACTAACGGGCCGTAGAGTATTGGATCTTAAGAGGCCCAATGGGGAGACTAATTTAGTAGAATGGGCCAAACCAATGTTACCTGACAAAAAGAAGCTAAGGAAAATAATGGACCCAAGGTTGGAAGGACAATACCCATCAAAAGCTGCATATCAAATAGCAGAAATCATACTACAATGTCTTGAGCCTGATCCTAAAACTAGACCTTCTATGGAAGAGATTTTGGAGTGTTTAGAACAATGTAACGCGATCAAGATGAAGCCGAGAGATAAAAATGCCACGCGTGCCCACGATCAACGATCGGGAAATCATCGTAATCAAAACAATTACGGGCATCGGTCACCTCTCCATGTTAAGAAAACAGGTAGCGGTAATGTAATTGGAAACCAAGGCCGTCATGCTGCCATCAATCGAAGCTACTGAAATTCGATAGGGTTATATGGCTCGTTACATGAGACCTTTATATTAAGCGTTGACAGAAATTATAAACAAATATTTGTAGGGTCATTTTCTTCGATTCAAATTGTAACTTGTTATGTTGTACAATTCCCTCGGTCCGAAGGTGGACAATACGAAAGAAATTGATATGTGGGCTTGTATACACTATAGGCCCAATCCAACTTTAGACCAATGGAGGCCCAATTTATCAGCCCATTTAAATGGGCCCCTGAGACCTGTTGGTACTTTGAATTGGTCTTACATAATCATGAAAAAGCTGGCATATGTCTGTATCAGACTGAATGATAGTCAACATCAAGAAAAGAATGGACTTCTTTTTTTCCTTTTTGTAACTTCTTTTTTGTACTGACTAGATATGATTGTATTGCTTTTGTCTGTATATTTTTAATTTTTGGATTCATTTTGTAGGGTGATCATTTTCATTTTTCATGTATCATGTTCTTAAGGTCAATATTGATTTGCCTTTTGTTACTTTCTTGTCCGTATACCCTTTGGTCACTCTTTCTCCTTCCAAGAAAGGCAAGTAGAAGTTGGAATAAACATTAATTTTTAGTTATAAAGATCGAATATTAATTCTTATAGCATTATCTCCAACTCTGCCTTACATAAACTAAGCCGTTTGGCTATAAAAATGAAATTCACTTTTTTTTTGAAATCAGTGTTTGACCAAATTTTCAATATACACTTGAAGATGTAATTTGTAATTTTTCGAAAATCTGAAAAACTCCAAAAACTATTTTTCAAAATTTTCACTTCAAATCACTTACAAAAATTCGAAAACAATCCAAAATTATATTCATGTCCAAACACAACTCTAATTTTCAAATACCATTTTCACTTAAAAAAAAATCACTTTTTTTAATTTTACAATTTGTGTCCAATCGCCCACTAAAAGTCAAAGAGATTGTAATATTAATTCTTGCACTATTTGGTTAGTTGCGGCAATTAATCCAACTCACTGACACATTCAATTTCAAGATAGACCCAATTGAGACAGAATTGATTGACTCTGTTTATATAATTGCATTGTACATATGCGTTAGTTCACTTCTAAGACTTTCCTACCCTTCGAGAGGCAATGAAACAAGTGACGGATCCAGAATTTTCAGCAAACGGGTTCAACATGCGAAGAAGTAAATGTATAAAGAACTCAACAAAATTATTATTTTTAATAAAAACTAAAATATTATTAAAATCAATTTGGATTAAAACGATGCTTTAAGCCCGAAAAATCTCTTTGAGAAAATATATGATTTCAGGGTTAGTAAGGACCATTTCAAGGTATTCTCTTCTAATCTCATCAAGCTCACTTGAATGATAGTTCCAAATTATATTCAATGTGTGTTATATACATCTAAAACGTAACATTTTATTTATATACACAGTCAGTTTTTCGATGAAGGGTGGTCAATAGACCGCCCTTGTGACCATGTGGCTTCGCCACTGGTAACGTAGCCACATACATTGAAGGGTGGTCGACCCAACACTGTTCATCGAAAAATTTATGGTGTATGTAGAAACTTATATTGTGTATATAGGTCAAAAATTATTTTTATATGTGTATATTAAATTTTGAACACCTTTCGTGCAATTCTTGGCTTCGTCACTGACTATCGGAAACAATCTTTCTACCTCTCAAAAGTTAGGGGTAAGGTTTGTGTATACCTCCCCCTTCACAGACTCCACTCATGGGGTCACAGTGAGTATATTGTTTATTTTTTATATATTTAATATTAAAATAGTAATAATATTTATTTCTTGTCTAAACTAAGTTGTGTAACTTAGCATAAAGCATGATAAACACTGTGTGTTTTGTATGGGTCAAAATCGAACTAGAGAAAATCGATACACGGAGATGATTGTCATGAGTGACCTGCTAATCAATATGGGCAGTTTGGCCGAGGTCGATCAGTGGTCAACAGAACAAACCGCTGAGTGGTTCATCAGGGCCGAGGTCGAGCAGCATAGATAGGAGTAACGACTAGTATAGCTTTGGTATCATCAAAGGAAATATTCTATTGAATATTCTCTTTATTTGTACCTTTTAGGGTTCTTTGGGAATATTTCATATAAATAGTATGAGAGATAAATACAAAGAACAACTTTCTTAAAAGATTCGATCCTTGTAGATTATCTATTGTCATTTCCACCGAGAAAGTGCTCAATATTCTCTCACATTCCTGTCATTCATCATTGTGAGAAGGAAGAATCTTTCACCTCTTTCAATATTGGCTGAATCTTCCTCCTTATTTACATTTATTGTCATTTATTGTTATTTAATATTTGATGATTCATGCACACTATTGCACTGTTAACTTTAGATCTGAAGTTATTAGCTTTAATTAGGATTAACATACCTTAATTAACAACTGATTAATTGATTTAACCAAAGATTATCATGTTTATGTCAAACATGTTCTTGCCTCTTCTTTTCTTTATTTAACTAGTTATAAACTTGAAAAATATCTCCCAAAAAGAGTATGATCAGCCTAGAAGAGGGAGACGAATGCGTTCTAAACATAGTAACAGTATTGGGGTCAGACTTGCTTGGAAATTACTCAAAAGGATTACAATGATTTTGATTGCAGTAAGAAATGATTAGAGAGTGCCAATTTTATCATTTATCAACGGTCTTTTCAGCAGTCAATTAAGCAGGGCAGGCCTCTAATTATTCCAACTAAACACACATGCTTTCCTATACAGCACGTCTCTAGGGAAACCCTACCCAAAAATAATATCAGTGGTCTCGCGAAGCCGGTCAACGGTAGCCTAAGAGCAAGTCAAAACTACGAGAAGGGCGCGAGAAGTTTTGTGAAGGTAGAGAGAGATATTCAAATCAGACTTCAAGTTGGTGTGCCGCGTTGCTGGTCATATGTATACAACCAATTTCGGGATTGGGCACAGTATGAAAGATCTTTCAAATGCACATATTCCCCCGGGGGGACGATTGGGGCGTGGACATAAGGGTCTTTATGACACAATCAATAATTCGCTTCATTTTTAATTAGGCCTTGCTCTAGCTTCTTTAGGGGTTATTACTTCTTTGGTAGCTCAACACATGTACTCTTTACCTGCTTATGCATTCATAGCACAAGAATTTACTAGTAAGTAGTATGTAATATCATTTTTATAAGAGCGTGTTATTCTTTTTTAAACGGATAAAAATAAAAATATGATATATAAATTAAAATGGAGGGAATAGTAGTTGCCTAAAATATTCTTAACTTGTCCGAGGAGTTGCTTAGCCCTTAAGTTGGACGTGATCAGTAACTTATAATATCCGCCTATTTTTTTCTTCTAGTGCATTTAGTATTTACTGAACGCGTAAATAAGCCGAAATACTCGAACATACTACATTTGATATTAACTAAAATCAAGGGAACCAAATTCTAAATTTCTAATCAGTGAATATTAAATGCTACCAAACCTACAATTACTAACTTTTTTTGTGATAGTGTTTTAGGATACAATATAAGTATATGTAGTACCCGCGACGGATCTAGGATTTAAATTTTGTGGGTTCAATTTTTAAGATTTTTAACATTGAATTCAGTAAAAATAGCACGGTCTAGCCAGTTTTCGGACTGGTCATTCAAAAATAGTCAGCGTTTACCAAGTCAATGAAAAATAGCCACTATTTTGCTACAACAGAGACCGGTCTAGCATAATATACTGGAATTCGGTACACCTGTGTATGAATTTCCAGCATATTATGCTGGAACTCCAACACACGGAAAATTCCAGCATAATATATTGGAGATTCGAGCACTTGGGTATGAACTTCCAGCATATTATACTGGACCGGTATACTTTGCTGGAACTCCAGTATATTATGCTGGAGTTCTAGTGTACTTATGCTGGAACTCCATCATATTATGCTGGAGTTCCAGCATACTTATCCTGGAACTCCAATATAATATGTTGGAGTTCAAGTATACTTATGCTGGAACTCCAGCATAATATACTGGCGTATTTTCCGGGTTTTGAACAGTGTTTTCGCTCAGATTTATGTTTACATGAAAAGTGGCTAAATTTCGATTACTTTTGAAACTGGGTATTTTTGAACGACCACTTGTAAATCTGGCTATTTTTGAATTTCTCCCTTGAATTCATTGTATTTTTAAAACTATGGATTCAGACCTACCATTTGTTGCAATTTTGATGAATTTTACACATAAATATATGCTTCACGACGAAAATATATGGCCATACTCTACATCCTTGTGTACATGTTCAGTAATTTTATAGTAACTTTCTATTTCGAACATGCATATGTTGCATTCATATATACATATCCCCTTATGTTTATTCGAGATGCCGCCGGAAGTATAATTATGAAGATAATGACATGATGAATATTTTAATTAACATTCTCTAACCTTTCTCTAATTTAAAAGTGAAAGTAATATATAATAATCACTTTTCAAATCCCAAAGCTAAGGTCTACTAATTACAGAAACATGCGTCAAAGTGTGTGCAGTCCTTAAGGAATAAAGGTTGTATATATTGTACTAATACTGTTCTTAAATTAAAAGTTTAAATTTGACCCCCAAAATTTTTAAAATAGAGAAAAGGAACTGCATGCTTAATCATTGAAGTATTAAGCCCATAGATGTAAAGTTCTCTTTCTTATAGTACTGTGTAAATCTCTAGGGATTAATAAACATTAAAGACCATGATGTTTAAACATGATCGAAAGCCTGAAATTCCCTCTTTAATTAACATGCAATTTGATCTTGTCATCATTAAGAGACGAAAGTGAATAGAGAAAGCGATTATAGTCACATTTTAATTTACAACCTAGCAACCCAAAGAATAATGGCGGCCCGCTGGACGAAGCATCTCGCATTCACGTAGGACTCGAGGCAAAGGTGTTATGACCGAAAAAATCAGGTGTCATGCAGAAGCTAGCAAAGCAAACTTTGAACGACGATAAATTATACAATAAAGAGAAATCTACCAAAAGAGACACAAACATATAACGTGATTCGGTCAACTGACCTACGTCCACGGCGAAGATGAGCAATCCACTATAATAAAAAGAGAGTACTAAATATCGATAGAACAACCTCGCGAAGAGGCAAACACAAGTGACACATTAACACTTGTCCCGTAAAGTTCTCTCCCTAAACCCGACTCTCAAGCCCTATATGGCTACATTGTGGATGCTACTGAATGAGAAGGAAGGATCCTCAATTTATAGAAGTCCAAACATTTTCCTACAAGAAAAGGGACTAGCCAAATATGGGATATTTAAGTTTCCTTCTAAGAATAGGAAAACTCAATTATGATAAACATGTTGCCTTTTCCTTCGAGAGAAAATCAATTATGGTAAGAAAATCAGGACAACACCTAACAAAAGGCGGATCCAGGATTTAGATTCTGTGGGTTCAACTTTTAAACCTATTGTATATTTTTTAATTTATGGGTTCATATCTACTATTTTGTAATTTTAATGAATTTTTATATAT